TGGATCCCATGAATCATTGAAAAATGTCACGTTTGAAATTGTCAAATTTTGACAAATTTTTGCTTGAAGATGACACTCAAATTTAGAGATCCAACAACAGTTGAACACTCAATGGCCAACAATGAACACTCATACGGACAACTTGCATAACATTTTCAAAATCACTTGTAATGAAATGATTAGCATTATCCAGAAAAAACCGCCAATCATATGGTTAATTATCTCGATCAATTAAGTGTTATTGGTACAATTGCAATCTTGGATACTAAAAGTATCATTTTGCCTAAAGTAAAAAACAAGTTTTTTGTTTAGGCTGAATGATACTGCCTAAAAAAACGTTTTTGTGCGATTAGTTGACAATTAAAATTGCAATGTATATTTATTGTAACAATATACTTGCAAACTTCCTTGTTGACTTCCAATTTGAACATCTTCATAGCATTCATCTTCAATTCAATTCCATTGCATTGTCGTCTTCATCCGGCTCTAGTTTGAAAAACAAATTACCAACAAGATCATCGATTACTTTCACATTATAGATTTCAAAAGTAAATATCTCAATTTGCGATTCAAAGAGAACATAAGAACACCTAATCTGCTTGTGCATGCAAGTGCAAAATTAAAAAAAAAGTATGATGTTCAACAAAAGCTATGATCAGACACCCACAATGTGGAAATTAAATTGGTAAAACCTGGTTCAAAACATGATAAAATAGTAAAGAGATGCGTCATTATAAACTTAACGCGAAGCGTGTACAAAGATGAATATTCACCTACTCAAACGAGAAACGATGTAAGCTTGATTATACACAATTTTCTCACTATTATTGATGGAAAAAGCTGGATGAAAAAAACTTCAATTTGTGCACTAATAAATTGATAGTTAATTATGAATGTACTAACAGTCATTGCAAGGTCAAAATGATGTGTAGGGAAGAAAAGCAACAAGTTTTAGGTTGCAGTACTTCAATTAGCAAACGCTGAACTTTGATTGATAAGAAAAAAAACTCGGTAATTTCAAATATTCAAATTGTCTAATATGAGTGATGAAGTAAAAAGAAAAAATGAGTGTAACACAAAAAATGGTTTGAAGAAATAGTTCATAGAAAGAAAAATCTGACAAGCAAAGAGAGAGGATGAAATAAATCATGTTAGATGAAAAAATAAAGATTGAATGACAGCAGATAGTAGATTGAGATGTGGATATACAAAAGCTAGTAACTGGACATCAAACAATTGGGTACGCGTATCAATATCACACACATGGTTCACCATGCACTTCAAAAATGACAACCCGCAATTTGATATTATTGTTGGCATCGAATAGTTGATATGTGTAAAAACTGAATGTTGAACAATTGAGATGTTAACACGTTGCAATTGCTTTACTGATCAGCCATGCACTTTGTGAATTTTATGCAGTATTCGCAAAATTTAACAGATTTACGTTGTAGAGCCAAAACTGCAATTAAAGAGTATTTTTAAAGAAGTTTAATTGTGACATTGGCTCAATTTTAATTGTGGCAAAGTTGGCATTTGTTAATAAAATGCCACATGTAATGAGTTCTGACATAATGTCATATTTTTTGCATTGGAAAAATTAATTTAGAGAAATATCAATTAATGACATGTTGAATACATATTTGCAAAATTTTAAAATCAACTATTTACTCTTAACATGTGATATGTTGGATAAAGGAAAAATCAGGCAAGCAAAGAAGTAGTTAAGAAGTTTGAAACGGCCTGAAAAAAAAGTATATTGTCCATGCATTGTCAAATAAATAATGATGATCACAAAAATTGATGGCTTCATAAAAAAATGTATCATTTTTGGACGTGGCGCAAATCTCTTCAGATTGGATTTCAATCTTGTTGATATTTATATGTCAAAAAACCAATTACAGTTGAGTCAAGACTTATGTTGGATGATAAGACCTATGATATCATGAACTTTAAGCTTCACTAGTTGAATCGGCTAAACTGGTATAAAGTCAAGGTCTCTACTAAAGTCTCATTCATCTTGCATGATGACAAAATCCATATATTTATAAACGATGTCAAAAATAAGTAAAGCAATGAATAAGTAACAATTGATTTGATTTAATCAGGCAATTAATCGTTATCAAAGCAAAATGACCAAGATTATTAATGAGTTCTATGATATCAATGTAAGGATCCAACTAGTTTTACGAATGTCACGAGTAGACTCATTTAGATTATCAACGTCGAAGTTGCAAGAACGCAATGAATAAGTAACAATTGATTTGATTCAATCAGGCAATTAATCGTCATCAAAGCAAAATGTCCAAGATAATTAATGAGTTCTATGATATCAATGTAAGGATCCAACTAGTTTTGCAAATGTCACGAATGGACTCATTTAGATTATCAACTTCAAAGTTGCAAGAAATGATGAGCATTGAATAAGCTATCAATAGTTGAATGTTTCTTTGTTGTTGGTTGAACGTTAGGTTATGACATTGGAGATGCATCATCATGTGTTTGGTATTTGTGATGCTTTTTGTGATGTCATTTAAAATTCATAAGACGTGACTCTCATATTGAGATGCACGGCGAGAATATTCTACTAGAATTGAAAAATAGTGGGCATTGATATCCTGGCAATTGTTATTAAGTCAGCTTGTGGCAATAAACATGGCAGATATCTATAGACAAGTCAACTTCATGTCAAAAATTCACATTTTATGTCGACGAAGGTGCAAATTCATGAATATCAATGTCCTATACGATGCCTCATCATCGAACTATAAGTATCATTCATGCAACCGAATGTTCAATTGGTAGAGAAGACATCACACACATCAAGGAATCATTATTGCAACCTCATGATGACAACAACAACATGTTCATTCATGTTTTGAGCCTCGTCACATGCATTGATCAATTAATTCCTCCAATCGAGAAAGTATACGTCAAATAATTTTTTTAAAAAATATTTAAACTATATCAATACAGTATGAGATGCGTGAAAGAGTATTGAAATGAGATTTGAATTGTAGAGCTAACAACGCTAAACAAATCCAAACATGGATATATGCAATCAAAAAAGTCTATAACATTTGAAGTATTCTAATAATGATATGGAAGTTGGCAATGCATTTGATGCATAAAAATGTAGCGATCTTCAAATCATTCATTCCATCAAACTTGGAACCCATTGCAATCTACTTGGTTATCTGAAGTGCAAACGCATTCTGCTTGAGACTTGAACCCAATGCAACATATTTTATTGTGATGTGGTATGTGATCAAATCTTGATCGCCCTAGAATAGTTATTCATATCAATATCAAATTTGAACGCACGCATGTTGTTGATATAGGTTTGACCTTCAATATTTTTGAGATACCATAACATTTCTATGATTATAATCTCATTGATAACATTATCGATGGTATAGATCACATAGTCTATATCTAGATCGAGATGTGACAAAATTCTGTTCACAAATAGCACCTCAATGCAATTATGTTCACAAATTGCAGCTCAATGACAAAGTAAACCAGTTTAATTTTTTTCATGAGAATTTGTACTTCTCCCAATAGAGTGCTAGCTTTTGAGATGCATGTGATGGTTTTTGGGGCAAAATGTAGGTTCAAATGTCTTGTTAATGGTCATTTTTGGGCGTTTGTATCAACTTTGCACTAGCAATGAAAGGCGATACAAAATGTGTATGCAACGGCAATGACATTATTATTTTTAGCATCTCTTTTGAAATATAAACACAGTATTCAAATTGATGAGATGTATTGAATAGTGTAAGGTGTGGTGCAGCGGCACTTGAATGTTCTTATGTTCCAACCATTTGCTAATTTGACAAGTAAATTAATCCGCAGTCTAGTTTTGAGATTACATATCTTCAAAATTTGAGATTAGTCAGGTTAGTCATTTATTTTTAGAATATCTAATCTATATAGACCTGATGATGGTATTCAATACGGATTTGTGGTGACCTTGAAATGTTAACATCTAGGGGCGGATTTAAGTCAAGCTTTCTTGTGGATTCAGTTATGAATTTTTGATTTGTGGTAAAAGCATATTCTTATTGTAACTCTAAAGAATAAGAGAAAATTTCATTCAAAAATTAAAAACAAACTGAAAATTCACCTAATAGATTCAATCCTTAGACAAATGAACTCAAGTGGAAGACGATCGGGAGTAGAAGAATAGAGGAGTGTGGAAGGCGGCGAGCAAACGCATTGTGGATCTGAGAGTGCGGCGAGAACTAAGTGTGCAGTTTGGAATGTAATTAAATGTCCACGAGGAGAGTGTAAGCATTCTCGTTGCAGAAGCAAAGTCAGCCCACAGGTGATGTTCAGCAGGAGAGAGCTAACTGCGAGCCAGTCTTTCACCATAGAGAAACCGGTGTTAGAACGGGGTCCTTGAGCTTATAAACGTGGTTTCAGTGGAAGGTTCTGACATTCGGAGTCTCGGAGAATGGTGGCAAACTATCAAAATCAGCTGCTTGGGCGATGGAGGAGTGTTGTATTGCGAACTTGGGGGACGCTGAGATTAAAATCCAGTTGCACGTGTAGCTCAGGTTTTGTCACCTTTCACCTGTACCAGTGGTCGACGCATATTCAACTAAGAACATGTGGTATACGACTATGAGAATAAAAACTTGGAGATTCTTGCATTCAGTTCTGACCAGAAGTACTGTTGTATATTTAAGGGAAACAAGGCCGCCTGAAATGTGGTCCCTTCGGGACATTTCAGACATTTTTGGAGATAGCTCATATAGAAACTGGAAGTTTGGAATGAAACAAGCGGATTTTGCGGGGACCTGCACAAGGTTTTGTCACCTGTCCATACACTGCAAGGGCGCGGCACTTTCACGATGGAATACGGATGGTTAGGACGTGCAGGAGCGGGATGAAAGATCCAAAACTCTGATGGAAATGTATTGCACTTAAACGCTTCCTGTGAAGTCCTACAAAATTTGATATCACATTTATCGCACCCAGCTTCGTCCAATTGTGTCCTCCGCTAGCCTCATGTGGCATCGCAGTGGATGAAAACACACATGAAACAACTTGATACAAAAGTGTGAGTGGAAGTCACAAAAGCTTCCACGTTGGTCATTACAGAATTTGCTTTCCCGGTCAATCGCACTGACCGTAACATGATCTGGGGTCAAACTCACTTCAACTTTCTAACGTCCTAAAGATCAACTAGAGCCAAAATCGAGCAATGGTGTGTAACTCTTGGAAGAACAACTGCTCCTCACCTATGAAACTCTACGTGCCCGGTTCTAACTTTGAACCCCTACCAAGAACGTAATCAGTAAAATGACAACGGTAAATTACATCTACCAAATTACAGCCCTAAGCAGAGTAAACGCGGGCAACTCCTACTCTCACCATTCAAAATGGTTCAACTTACGAACATAGAATTACATCATCAAGGCTCCAACATCCTGCATGCTTCCAAAGGCATGAGGTACCTTGGACATCTGATCCCGACTTCATGGTAAAGTACATTCTCGGATCAGCGGTGTCTTGACTTTCAGGCACGCGAGAATACTCGTTTGAAACTTTGTGCATCTGACGTAAATCAGGCATTCACGGCGTCTACTTCTCTGTTCAGACCCGAGGCAGGAAGTGCCATACATTTCGAATAGATACCTAAGGCGTTCCTGCTGATGTTTCTAACCCTGATGTCGGAGCACCCAGTATGCGGAGTTGGCGATCCATGGTGGCCACCGCTAAATAGGATGCATCAGGTCCAAAGCGTACAGATGTTACCTTACCTGCCACCCATATCTATCCCGTTAGAACTGCCCACACTCGATCCAATGAGTTTTTTCTCACTTCAAATGGACATCAATGTTCAACTACAGACACGCACGTCCATTTAGACGATAAGTGAACTCAGATAAGGAGAGAAAGGCGTACCTGTCCCCGAAAGATCAGGGAAAACCTTGACAGTATTCCACTCTTGTTTCACACTGGCAACTTGGTATATCCTGTAGCCACACAACATCACAGAGAACTCTCAGAGCACTGCATTTGAACACCTGCCGACCAAATTTCCCTTCTTCCTTACCACCCATCAAAGCTTGTTCCTAATTTAACACAGCCTAGGATGTACACCATACATAGGCTCTCTCACAGCTTCGTCACCTACCTGGTCGCAGGACTAGTGCATTAACAACAATCCCAACACATGTTTTCAGAAACGCCATGTGATATCCAATACGCAGTGGTTTCGGTCACAGAACTTCCACCTACTTGGTGAGGAAAGGAACACAAACCTGATATCTGATCCACCCACAGCTAAGTAGCTTCCACTATAGTCGAACTCCACTGCATGAGGACAAATGAGTCAGTTAGTTATGATGTCCGTTTCTCTCAAGTGCGAGATTTGATCCCAGTTCATGATTTTAAGCCATGCCTCAAGGCTTCTTCCAGTGTTTACTTACCTGTGTTGGTTGGAGTGGCTGCATCATAAGGAGCAAATGAGCGAAAATTTTTCAGCTTTCGTAAATCCCAAAGCTTTACTCCGTCGCTAGCGGCAGTCTGCCAAAATACGACGATAAAGTAAGATCTTGGCGTCTTACACTAAATTCAACTCTAAACAATTTGATAATTTTTTGACGGAACACGTTTATGTCGGGACGAAGAGACCGGTGCGCGATGCAAGAAACGGTAGAATCCAATTGGTTTCACGGGTCCCACACGTAAAAGAGAACATCTTCAACCCTGGTCCGACCCTATAACACTTACTGCGAGAAAGTAACCATTTTCGGAAAACGAGATATCCGTGACGGGTCCAGTGTGACCTTCGAACTTCGCGACGTTGGCCTGCAAACAGCGAGATAGAGTACTGATTAGTGGAGTTTTAACATGGGATTCTGGATTATGATTTGATTACTTCAAGCATTTGCAGAAGATATGGCAAAAAGTTTCGCAATTATAGAATTATTGGGAACTTTGCACTGAACATGAATCTGACATGCGCTGAACGCTGACAAGTTGATACAGAGCAACGACATGAATGCTTTCCAGGAAGGTTTCATGCAACCGTTCTAATCTTAGTTGTTCTCTGTGTTCAGCGTTCCCGGGCAGCCCTTTCGACAACAGATGAACAACTTTCCTTACTGTATAATCCCCATGGGTCTATATTGTCTTCAGGCTATGACATGCACGTAACTTCCCCTTACCTGTGTCTTCACGTCCCAAATGCGAACAAGTGATTCTGCCGTTCCGGTTCCCAAAATAAGACCATCGGGATGGAAGGCAGCAGATGTGAATCCGTCTTGCACGGTAGCTTCATTGACCTGAAAAAGTGGAGAAAAAAACCATAAGCTTAGCGGTCAATGCGTCTTTGGCGTTTATAAAGGATTTACAACACATGTTATTTCGTGCTTCTATCCTTCCTCAACAAAGGGACACGAAGCTGGTGCCTCGTGCCCCTCCGTTGAGTTAGGACAGAAGCACTTTTGCCGAATCAAACAATTTTGATTCGGCAAAATCAAAATTGTTTGATTCGGCAAAATCTACCAATTTTTATTCAGCAAAAACCTATATATTGGAAGACTAACCTGAGTCAAGCCTGAAAAAGTGGAGAAAAAAACCATAAGCTTAGCGGTCAATGCGTCTTTGGCGTTTATAAAGGATTTGCAACACATGTTATTTCGTGCTTCTATCCTTCCTCAACAAAGGGACACGAAGCTGGTGCCTCGTGCCCCTCCGTTGAGGTAAGATAGAAGCACTTTTGCCGAATCAAACAATTTTGATTCGGCAAAATCTACAAATTTTTATTCAGCAAAAAACCTGTATATTGGAAGACTAACCTGAGTCAAGCATAAACCTGTACTGAGATCGTAAAAGCCCCATGTTTTGTCGAGTGACGCGGTGACAAAGTAGTTGTGTGTTGCGTGTAGAGTTACTGCTCTAACCTACATCCACACCAAAAATTTAAAATCAAGATTAGTGGATACAATGGGATGACGGGAAATGTTAATAACCTCTCATCACAATAACATGAATCAACAACTACAAATCTTGCAAAAACATGAATTTGCAAAATCTCGAGAGTTCGAAAACCCTTATAATCCAAGCACCATCTATCTTTTAAACTTCGACCTGACGGTACCGTCAAACAAATGTGCCTATATTTCTTCTTCAGTTAGGCCCAGTTTCCCAAAGAACAAACTGGAATTTGCACTGGTCATCAAAGCTATGATTCACCTTACTACGATAACCTAACTATCACCGTCCTTAATCAAATCTTTAATCGCTCTCATAAAGCTTCAGAAGTGGACAAGGGCCACAGATGAGAAAGCTCAGTTGAGATGGGAGCAACTAATTAGTCCTTTGCAAGACATAGAATCCATAGTAACCCCGCCATAAAGCCCCAGGTTCACGAACCTCTGCGGAGTGGTCCTTCAAGACGTGCTTGCAGTTATAGGACCCATCTTCTTGACCTTGCCATATTCGTACAGTCTGTAAGCAGGCACACAGATATCAGTGGCATGTAAGACAGACTTTATCAAGGTAACATACGACCATGAAACTGGACCTCCTGCTTGCGCTAGAGTGGAAGCATCATACGGTTTCCCATAGTACTCCTATCCATCTCTTAAATCTCTCCTAGTCCTCAAGACACAATTACGGCAAGACCCTTCTTTCGGTGAACGAATGCTCAGCACGGTAATAACAATTCAACTTAAACGTATCCAGGATCCGAAACAAATCACGAGATTAGCGTCAAGTAGCCTATGTCATTCCCAGACATTGACTAAGCAGTATTGTCATTTACCAAAACAGGCAATCCAGTTCTTTGGAGGAGTTAATGTGTAGGTCATGCTCACCTTGTCAGCAGAGCCAGTGAGAACAAGCTCATCACGTGGCACAAATTTTACACTGGTCACCTACAAAAACCGCACAGGTTAACAATGGTTATTGAACGCTTCTTCACCAAACCAGGTTAATAACACTCCTCTTTGGTAACCTTCTTCTCGTAGACAGGCTTCCAATCAAAGGAAGACGAGTAATTTACTCACCCGCTTGCTATGCCCTGCAAGGGTCGATACAATTTCCCCGGAGGCCTTGTTGAAGACGATTGCCGTGGAGTCAACGCCACCAGTCAAAATGAAATCCTGCAACGTAGGAAAAGCATCAGACAGCGCCTCAGAACGACAAACAAAATTTATCCTTCGCCGCCACAAATGGGGGCGAACAGGAAACGTCCATGTGTATGCTTCCATCTGAATTAGGCAAAACAAGTTAGAACAACCTTGGTGGGATGAATGTCGGTGGAGCATATTCCCGGCTTCACAGTTTTATGAAGTGGATGGCTGGCCACTTGCGTGTACTTCTCAAAAGCCTCGGCAGTGGCAAGTGTTTGAGAATTCTGCACATTGACTTTCTCTGAGTCAGCGTAGTCCTTCATGACATTCTCTCCTAAACCGATTCAGAAATTTTATAACATTGACTCTTTCCGAACTTTCCATCTTCTTTTCAAAAAACCGACTTTTCCGTTGGGATAGAAGTTGGAACGCACATGTCCCCCAAAGGGGACATGTGCGCAAATAAAAAGACATGTGACTAGTCTCTCCTAATCCGATGTACTAGATTGCAAGTGTGTAAGATTAAACTGCAACGACGGTACATAGACGGTCTCGCGACGCTTGGGAAAGAAATACCTGGCGCTTTTTACGTTGGCCTGAAAGACGAGCATTGCAGTCGGTAAGCTCCTTAATAATTTCCGGGGTAATGCCCTGTCTTGCTTTCTTGCCCGGAGCAGCTGGTTCAGCTTCAGCTTCTGGTGCTGCAGACGATTTGAAATTCGAATACATTGTCAAGCTTCATCTAGCCAATGGTAAAGCTGTGAGATCTACATATGATGTGCAATCGCATTTTATCTAGCCTGTAGATTGGCAGGACATTTTATACTTTCGTTACAAAATGGACAGCTCAACGCTATACGCGTAGTTCGACCTCAATGCCATAATAGAACATATTCTTCTTCCTTACTCCGCTCAACACGAGAAAACGACAGCAACAGTTGTAGTTTTCACCACAAATAGATCTACGCGAGGTGCCTACGAGGACTGTTCTTAACGAAGACTACATCTGACAGCAGATAATATGTGTGAAGGGGAGGTTCTTCGTGAAAACCTCTCTTGCCATTCGCAGAAGCGGCAGTTGGTGTAGCCAATTCTGTTGAGGGTACTTGTCTCGCTGCCTGTACTAATCTTTGCCTGGCTTCATCCCTCTCCTTCTTCAGTCGCGCAATCACTCTGCACGCTGCATCATGCTGCAGATAACCAAAATGCAGAAACGTCACCGTCTCACGATTAAGGGGATTCGAAACGAAAAAAGGACATCCTCTTCAAAATTTGACGGATGTCCTTGATGTGAACTAATGGCCACACCAAGAGACGAAAAAGGCTTATACAACTGGTCTAGCTACCAAAGAAAGCCACAACTCAAACCTGATAGAGCGCGTGACTCAATTCTTGACGAGCAGTATGTAATTGTTGTTCGAGTGCATAGTTGGATAGCATCAACGCGTCCCACTCCTGCAAACGTGATACGAGTGAAACAAACAAACAGACAAACAAGTTGAGTGACTTCGCGATTTCTAGCCCGGACGATTTCGAAAGGATACCCAACGTTTGCCATCTGACTGATCTCTGGTGATATACTTGAGTGCGAAAGGCGCTGTTGATACTCTGACAAAATCTTCAATGCGCTTCTAGGTTCTGCAAGCTCTAGCGGGTGACCCTGACAGTTGCAACGGAATTTCGTAATTGATTGCAATATTATCTCAACAATGTACCATACAACTTCATTTTGGTGTCTGTAATTAGAAGGCCTGGCACAGTTCACGAAAATAGTCTGGGGTTCGTAAGTTCGCAGGGGATTCCAAGACATCGAAGGAGCTATGGTGTTACTTAACGACTACGAAACGACGAAATTTATTGCCCTTGTAAGTACTTACATTTTGAAAGAGGCCGAGCATTCCAGGTATACTCGCCGCCTGTAGTGGCCTCGGTTTGACGGCCTGCAACGCGGCAGAAAGTTACTCCATGCCCACACAGAGTTTTATGTAGTCAAGCACCTGACCTATATGCAACTAGACCGGAATAGAAAAGCAAACACGTACCTTGTTTGTCTTCACGGAAATAAGGTCATCGGCTGGGAGACTTTCCCCAGTAACTGGACAAGTCCCATTTTCCTGATGAAATCAACAAGTCTGGCAATGAGTCCCGCAAGCTTATTCTTTTGGACTCCAGTCACAGAAAATCCGTTCGAAGAATCGCTTCTTTCGCCAGAAAAATATTGTAGGAATTTCTAATGAAGGAAATACTCGTGGGGATCGACACCGAAACTGTCAATTTCGTTCCATCCCTCTACATAGTGCTAAGAGGTGATCAGCAATCCACATAAAGCTAGACAACGGACCCCTATCCATTCACTCTCCAGGTTTCAAGACAAAGGCCAAACACTCGCGTTTTCTAAAACTATGAGCACTTCGACTTCACGGGTAAACAAATGACGACACTCAGAGAATCCACGAGAAACCTAACAACGCATACGTCGATCACTTTGATAGCCAGAAGGGGTTCCTCGCGCGGTCAACCCTCTATCAGCTGATTCCTTCTACTTCCAAGCATGAAATTACAATACCGTCTATTATCCAATTTCGGTGTAACGCATTAGAAGATATATATTTTGACTCTTCCGTCTGGTATCTTACCGCAAGATGCTTTTCTATTAGCCTCCGCTCGTAGAGAAGACCAGTCCTTCTTGACACCACAGGTTCCTCCGGAGTTACCCCTGAGACTACAGTGGGACCAAAAACAACAGTATATTTTCAGAATACGCGTAAGTGTCTTGGACGGCCCATAGGCTGAGAGCTCCACCGCATGAAATGGCATGAAACCTCGTAAGCATTCGCTAAAAATATCACAACTCGTAATTTCGTTTGTGAAAGCAATGGGAGGAACGTACTAGCGCAAAACATGATTGCAGCTTTGCTTAGTAAACTGGCACCCGGTCAGAAACTTGAGCACCCGCTCCACCTTTTCCTGTTGAAGTCACAAAACCCTAACCAAACAAACGCAGCCTCAGTAGCGAAGGTGACGAAACGATGTACAGCAGAGCAGAAAACCTGGTACCGAACACCACACTATCCATCTACCTCCTCGAGACCTCTTCGGAGTGCACCACCTCATACACCATCTAAAAGCAGCATGGCATGGCAGTTCAGTAGAAATCCATCCTACGTAGAAAAATGCAGAGCGTTAAACCCTAACAAAACTGACCGATGTCGAGCGACGGGAAAGAACGCACACATTTCCTGCACCCGCCGTGCTCCAAGAACGATAATACAGCGCAATTCGGGGCGAGGATGGCAGGTCGAGCGGCCGACGGACAGATCGTCAGCACACGCTACGATACGAGACGCATGCAAGTCGCAAAGTGACAGTACCGAAGGTGGACGAGTCCCGGGGCCAAAACCCTCCTCCGCTTTTTTTCAGCATTTCCTTCGGCACTTGGCTCCGGGCGTCGTTCTGCTTTCTACCTCGTGGCAATGCGGGCCTTGCAACATCATTCCCTGCGCTCTCCCGCTCATGCTTTGGTGGTCAATGTGGAGGCGATCAACCGCCGCTAACTTTGGCGGAGATCGGATGTTGTCGTTGCACCTTGCCCAGTGGTTTATCTCATGTCACATTGGAGCCACCGAGAATTGTAGCAAGAAGTGTTTTTGGCCATGCAGTTATAATTATAATAACATAAATCGTGTTGTGTATTATAATACTATATCCCAACTATTAAACTATCAAAGTCAATTCTTGTACATGCCAAACATTTACATGTTACAAATCATCATGCTCTTTTATTATTTACAATGTACAATAGACAAAAAGAAAATACTATTTACTACGATCATTCACTCATAGATACTACATTCACCGATTTGAGAGCATTTCAAGTTCCATGTTAATAGCTGTATGTAGCTTGGTACATGAGCTTATATTTGGATACTCTTATTGTTTCTGCTCGTAGATTGATACTCTTACATAGTGTATCACTATATTTTATGTAATTATAATTTTTTCCATATTTATTTATCGCTTCCCAATAAATATGTGTATAATCAAACTGAATGCAAAATATATGAACATTGTCTACCTCCTTTCACCTTCAATTGTGTAATATATAATAGCTTGTACAATAGTGAATATCACATTCAATCTCATGAGTACATCTGTTTTATACAAAACACTTGTAATGAACAACAAATCCTGTATATTCATGCTAAATATAAAACAAAATAAAGATGTGGTTGGATAGATGAAAATAACATATATAATCATCAAATATAATTTAAAATGATCAAAAAGTAAATTCAAATTGAACATGCATGAAGGATTATAAAATACTTTCTGTATGAGAAAATTAAAAATGATAGGCATGCACATTTTATACAACATAAAAATTAATTCAACACTCATACAAATTCTCATACATAAATAATAAACACATGTAGCATTGATATCTATAGTTCATCCAAATAAATTATACATGTTTGTTATGTCAATGAGCATACGAATACTTCATACTGTATTTTTATACAAATAAAAAATATAATGTATGGATCTACGATCTTTCAAGAGAATATGATTTCAGATTTATATTCATATCATCTTGAAAAGATAACATAAAGAAAAGATAGTAAAATCACAAATTTGAAAGATGATAAAACTACCAAACATGCTTAGTTTTCTTGTAAAATGCAAATTTGATTTTCTCATCATGACTATCAAGTTTATGCATCCATTTGAAATCGATAATAATACTAATACATCTATCAACATTATTATATCACACATCAAAAGATTATTGATTCAATTATATCATATAAAACATTGATGATTGACATGTCAACAATAATATGAATGCAAGTAAAATATATTAATGTTGTGGATTAACCAAATTATACTATATATAAGACAACATATGAAAATAAATTTGAAAATTGGTATAAAATCTACTTCAAAGATTGATAAATTATAAAAATTATTTATACAAAAATTTCCAAACAAATTTGGTTGCTAAAATTATGAATAAAAAATTTATCTACAATCATATCAACATTTAGTATTAAGTTTATTGTAGTAATCAAAAGTATAAACTAAAAAAACAATTATAATGAAAATACAACAAAATTATTTATCTTATTATAGTGGATTTATAATTTTGATTTAAATATCATTTTAAAATAATTGATAACAAATTATTATTTTTAAATATATTTATTAAGCATGAAGTACGAGCTTTTCTCTTGATACAAAGATAAATAAATGCTTCTTTGATGAAGTATATGATAAACGACACACACAAGCATAATCAAGTCAAATGGTATTCAAGAGCAAGAAATTGATGTTATTTGAGGTATTGTTTAATTTTTTGTAGCTTTAAATAAATCAAGATAATGAAGCATATGTTTTTTTCTACTTTGGAATCGATCCTAGTTTGTATCAAGGGTCATATTCTTGGATGGAGTTGAAATGAAAAGTGTGTAGTTGGCTTTAAGAATTAAAATGACTCTATGATTTCAATGTGTGCTTCAAATTAAATAAAATCTGAACTTTTTTATTTGATAAGGACTTGTTTTTTACTTTTAAGTCGTACAGCAAAAAACACAACAAATGAAATCTTGATTTTGTCACCTGACTTACTTGAATTCATTTAGATTTCTACACAAAGTTGACTTTGATAACTAAGATACATATTTTGATGGAGTGAAGAGACAAACTCATTTATTATTCAAATTATCTTTCTCATTACTCTCTTCTAACTTTCTTACAAACGAACACAACTCTATTTATAGACTACTAACACACTTGAAAACTATGTACAACATAAATCTGAGTTCAAAAAACAACAGCAATTAGTTCTGATACTTGAGTATTAAGACTGCCATAAACTCTAATAGACTGGCTACTCCATGAACCGACTTACAACTCCAACAGTATAAGAAATATCCAACCTTGTGCATGTGAAATAACAAAGACTCCCAAAAAGATTTTGATATTTGGTGAAAAATCTACTCATTGATCACCATCAAACTTACAAATTTTTGCTCCACGTTCCATTGATGTTAGTATCAGCTTGCAATACTCCACTTTTTTCTTTTTAAAATTTTAGCTGCATATGTTTATTGTTACACAAAGATCCTAGTATTTTCTTGTCTAACCTCCACACCAAAGATATACTTCATAAAATCCAAGTCTGTCATTTTGAACTTACGGGTTATATACTAATTTAAATCTTTTATCATCTTCTCATTATTCCCCAGGAATATAAGATCATCAACATAAAGAGTTACAAAGAAGTTAAAATTTTTTTCCCTTCACGTACAATGCATGTTTGTATGTGCATTGAGTAAAGACATTCTTCTTGAAGTAAGTGTTGATATGAATATTCCAAGCTCGGAATGTTTGCTTTAGTTCACAAAATGACTTCTTCAATTTCAACACCTTCTTTTCTTCCCAAATTTGCATGTAATCGGATGGTTGCTCCTCATACATCTTTTCTTCTAGCACACCAATCAAAAATGTTGACTTGACATACATTTGAAAAAATTTTCATTTGAAATGAGTTGATTGAGCAATGAAAATTTGAATCGTCTTCATTCTTGTAACCGGAACAAAGACTTCATCATAGTCTATCTCCATTTTTTGTTGATAATCCTTTGCAATTAGTCTGGTCTTGTACTACTCTCTCATCGGTAGCATCATAATCATTTTACTCTTATGGGTTGACTTCTTTTTTGCAATTCATACAGATTCCAAGTTCGGTTTTGCTCAATTGTTTTTATTTCTTCATCCATGACTGTTTGTCACTTCTCATTCCTTGCTTCCAAGTTCGGTTTTGCTCAATTGTTTTTATTTCTTCATCCATGACTGTTTGTCACTTCTCATTCCTTGCTTCCAAGTTCAGTTTTGCTCAATTGCTTTTATTTCTTCATCCAGGACTATTTGTCACTTCTCATTTATTGCTCCCAAGTTTGGTTTTGCTCAATTGCTTTTATTTTTTCATCCATGGTTGCTTGTCACTTCTTCTCATTTATTACTTCCAAGTTTGGTTTTGCTCAATTGCTTTTATATCTTCATACATGTATGCTTGTCACTTGTTCTCATTTATTGCTCCCAAGTTTAATTTTGCTCAATTGCTTTTATTTCTTCATCCATGGTTGCTTGCCATTTCTTCTCAATTATTGCTTCCAAGTTCAATTTTGCTCAATTGCTTTTATTTCTTCATCCATGGTTGCTTGCCATTTCTTCTCAATTATTGCTTCCAAGTTCAATTTTGCTCAATTGCTTTTATTTCTTCATCCATGGCTGCTTGCCACTTCTCAATCTATACTGCTTCTTCAAATCTAATTAATTCTACATCCGCGTAAAGACAAATGAAATGCACTTCACTTGTATTGAGATTGAAAGAAGTAGAAAGAATGTTGCTCTAACCAGTATAGCACACAAAGTGGTACAAACAATGAATGAAATGAGATATGAGATTCTTTTGAAGCACTTTACTTGAAGTACTTGATTGTTTACTTATAAGCCATTTATTTATAATTTAATGCAAGTGGGCTGGTACTTATATCTTCACTTATTTTCATGACATATGTGCACCATGTATTAATCCAACTCTCTCCCTTTTCTCCTCTCCTAACTTCCACTTCTAATTATACCTCATTGCAAAAATTATTTACAATGCATTGACAAAGAACTATCTAAGTTTCAACAACTTATTGAATCATACAAACTATGCATGCTTCGCATATTTGGTTGTTTTGGTTCTTTTTCATCATCAATTATTGATGAATTTGATGATGTATTTGTTGATGTAGCGATATCACGAGTAGATAATTCTTCATTTTCAAATATTATCTTTGTTGATCTTTTCTAATTCCATGAACTTGATTCGTTTACATGCAATTCTTGATTGATCGCTATTTTTAGTCTATTAGACTAAATGTTTTGAAAACTTTTATCTTTTTGTCATAATCAATAAAAACGTACCTTTTGCTTATATCATAAGTTTGATACTTCTTTGATCTAGTACATGCGCATAGATCACACTACCAAACATCTATGAATAAAGCACTATAGGTTTTTGTGCGTTCCATGCTTTTTGCGGTGTATGATTTACTAATTTTCCATGTGATCACCAATTTTGAACAAACATTGCGCATTGCACAGATCCTGCTCATAAATCTTTAGGCATGTTTTGACTCTTCAACATTGACCAAACCATGTTAAAAATAGTCCAATTTTCTGTCGCAGTCACAATGTTTTCTTGAGTTGAGTAGAGTGAGGTCAAAAACCTCTTGATTTGTTATTACTCGCAATATTTTGTAACAACAATTGTCATGTATTCTTTGCCTTTATATGACCGTAAAGCCTTGATATAATATCTAATTTTTTTCTCTATTAACAACTTGAATATCTTAAACATCTTGAATGACTCAT